TTGCTATTTTCAGTCATTTTGTATTACAAACGGGAAATTGATGCCCCAACACCCGATTGGGCTGTCAATTTCCCGTGCGTAATACAAAATGACTGAAAAACGGCAAACTTCGCAAGGCTATATTATCCACATTTTACAACATTTCGCAACGAAACTTTGGAATATTACTAATTTTGTGATGCTCTTTCAAGCTGTGATGAAATTTTTGTCTAGATCAAAATTTAGTCTATAATGCAAATGGTCCATTGGGTCATTCCAGAAAATATTCAGAACTCCCCCACAGAGGGTATTGGAAGTACACCCCTACCCAATGCGGAGATTGGAAATCCTTAGCTTATACATTTGCTATTATCACAAGTACTCTGAAGTCCCCCACTCCAGATGGCAGAAATTTATTCTGTGGGAGGAGTGTCACTGAATCTTTTCTGGAATGAACCATTATGTTTTCCCATTATGCACCCAATATTATTAGCTAGAGGGTGGAGTTGGGTAGGTGGCGTCACAGACCTAACAGACTTATATATATATTTAACAAATATAAAACATTTTCCGTGTTGAAATACAGTTATATCAACACGAATGGAAATTGGGAAAACGAGAAATTGAAAACGAGAAATTGTGTTTAAAGTTTGTTCGTTCAAATTTGAGAAATTGTGTGAAATTGAAATTTTATAATATAGTTATGCCATCTTTTGGACAAAAAATACTTCTATGGTTTTGCGAAATAAACGGCGGTGACCTGGACGTGAGATAAGTCTTAACACGATCGGTTCCGTGCAAGGGAAAACTTGTCAAGGAAAACTTGTTCACCGTACACACGAGAAAGTAAGCTGGCAAGGAAAACTTGCTCGTATGCATGTACGCTGCTCAATTCTGCGAATGGAATACAGGTGGCTTTTAGTAAAATACAAATTTCACGTTTCAATTTCGCTACTTTCTCAGTGAAAAATAACACAAAATCATCGATTTTTACTGGACTTCTGGGAAAGATTTCAATGAGTCTATTTTGATTATTTGTTTAGTATGGCGTAGGTTATCATGCAATGTATCAAATTTGGCCCGTTGTCCATGCATGTTCGGGAGGGGAATGTGCGAATATTTCGGAATAGATGATAGTTTTTTTATAATTTTTCTTTACACATAGACAAATATACTTAAAATATTCAGTATTATATTGTCATTGCAGCCTAAGCCAATAAATATACAGATGATTATATTCAAATATACAGATTATTCAATATTACTTTAAATAAGAGAAGTCCTAATTTCTCTCCCCCCCCCCTTGATGTTTGTATACGGAATTCCTGATATACAATCCATTACTTACAGAGTTGTATAAGTTAGAGAGGTCATAAATATTAAAGTCTCTTATTTCAAGAGTTTTGCCGCAATTAAACAAGGCAATACAAATGTCCCAGCAAAGATAGCTGCTGCAACAACGTGGTTGTTCACACGTTGTTCGAATGTCGTGTCCATGATATCTTCTTGGACGATTTCATTTTCGGCTGACAGCCATCTATTGACATCACCAGCTCCGAGATTTTCTGGTTCAATGTTGTTGTAAACTTCAACACGATTCTCACTTTCAAAACTTGATTCCTGCACACTGCTACCATGTTCAGAATATTCACCTTTTTGAAATAAGAGTAATTAGAGTTAATAATTAGAATACCTTTGTTAAGTATTTTTTAGAGTTTGTTGGTATAAGTTAGTTATTTAGTTAGTGAGGTATAGCTAGTTAAGTAGTTAGGTAGTCTGTCAGTTGCCTGGTCTGACGATCGGTTGGTTAGGGACTGTGTAGCGATGGGATAGTGTGGTTAATTTAAGCAATGTTTATACAAACCTCGGTAGAGCTGAAAGCTATCCTCGTAACTTTCACTCATCAGGTCACAATCGTGCACGCTGTTGTTGGTAGGTTCATCATCATGATGGACATTGCTGGTACCACCATTAGATAATGTAGATTTGTTACTGTCACCACATTCCAGAATCCACTGGTCAACATTACCATGGTTACCACAGTTCATCTCACCATTCCCTTGATGAGTTTCTTCAATCCAGTCATCCCAACCACTTGTTGTTGCCACAGTGACTGGGTCTTCATCAGAAGCGGAACTCAAGCAGGAAACCACCTCCTTAGGAGCAGGGCTATGACAAGAGCTGCGAGAAGAAGCTCTGCTATCTAAATCACAGGCCACATCATAACTCTGTCCTAACTCTATACCGGTACTATCAGTACCACCATCATCCGAAGTCAAAGACTCCTGACTCGAGTCTATTTTTTCCCAGTGCTCGTCACCCAGTATCCATCCGATGTTTCCACAGTCGGTTGGAAATACGAAGAACTCGTCTGGGAAGTCTTCATCGCAGCTCTCCTCGGATAAACTGTCCGACCTGTTGAAACTCAGAGAGTGTTTCAACTGTGCTGGGAAAGTGGTGGGTGGAGTGGTCTGTTTGTTGGGTGTGGCTGTTGGTAGATCATCAACACTGCTACTGGTTGTAATGATGTAGTCCTCATTGTCCACGTGTTCTTCACATGACAAGTCATTGGGTTCTTCATCGCTGTCCACGTGGCTATCACACGCTGAGTCGGTCGTTTCTTCAACAGTAGTCACGTGACGTTCGCGTGATGAGTCGGTAGGTAAATCATCAGTGTTCATATGCTCATCACGTGCTACGTCATTCTGGACAAGGATGGTTTTCTCAGATGGATTTATTGAGATATTTCGCTGTATTGCTGTCTTAGGTTTACCAAACAATTTGCAGCGAACTTTGAAGATGATCGGCCTGTAGGAATAGTAGAAAGGAAATAATTAGTGCATATGCCTTTCAACTCTGTGACAGAAGTTTAATTCCGGCAATATGATTGTAATTTCGTCCAACAGTTGAAGAGCAAACCCCTCAGGTCGTTTCCTCTTGGGCGTGCCCCTAACTAAACCCATAAGAAGAACAGTGAAGGACTGATCCAGTAGAAATACAGTTACTTTAGTTTTATTCAGGGATGCCGGAAGTTGCTGAGTGCAAGGGGTGCGATTTATTATCAAAAGGGCATATTTTTTAAAAAATGGCAGAAACAAAAATGAAAGAGCACTTACCTGCTTATAACCTTATTTAAAATCAAACACAAGCAATGAAGCAACCTTTTATTAATTTGAAACATTAAAATAAGGCACACAGAATTAGCAGAAAACTGTTTCCCTTTCTCTTCTACTGAAAAACATTTTGTGTGGCCATTTACTAGTTATAGGTTATGAAACTAAATCGTTCATTGTTTATAACATATATAAACTTAATAAACTCCTCCAATGTAACCTATTCGTTTGAAATCTTTTGTGCACCCGTTGCCCATAGTCTGCACCCGCACTGCACCCAAAAAGTTATGAATACAAAAGGCATGGGGTGCACTTGCACCCACTGCACCCGTGGTTCCGGCATCCCTGGTTTTATTTACCAAAATATTATATTATAATGTTTGTGATGTTACTCTGAGTAAGCTGAAAAGTTAGCTTGTCCACGGTGGGAATCGAACCCGTGACCTTTGGGATACTAGTCCACCGTGGCCAAGCTAACTTTTCAGCTTGCCCGGTGTGGATGCACACTCAGAATAACATCACAAACATATTCACCTGAGTACATAACACCAGCACACAGAAAATTATTATAGTTTAGTTTTATTTACCAAATCAGTACATCTTACCGGAGTCTAGCTCCATAGAATTTCCAGAGAGCAAGAAGATAGCTTGCGGCAATGAAAAATTTCTGGCTTTCAGTCAGGCCGAATATGTAATTGATACTTTCTAAAAAGACGATAGAGAAAAAGAATTCAAAATAAATATTTTAGGCAGTGTGATTTAGATCAGAGTATGATTCAACGTTATAGGATTGTGGTCCAAAAGATATATTAATTAAAGATGAAGTCTTACCTTTAACGAATGCCTGAGCTTTTAAGCCAATGGTCTCGTTACTGTCGCTTGACGTTTCAGCTAAAATATGTGGAAAAGATATAACATTATTGTGCTATATAATAGTAGAAAATATTCATATTTTCGATAAAAATGATTTGATTCAAGTTATTAAATTAGAAAAAATGTTTGCTATTGTTTTTAACTAACAAAAACTAAAATTTAGATAAAAATTTGCCAGTTGGTTTGAAGAATTAATATTGCTTTTAAGAAACGCCAAAAAATTGTAAAGGTTAAAGAAACAACCAAAAACATGTCTAAAATAAAACAAATTTAGGCAAAAAACAAAAAGACTTCATTAAAATTTATTTTCTATCAAAAATATAAAAAACAAAACAACTTGTTTATCGAAAAAACCCCAGCTTTAATATCGACTTACCGAAAAGTCGTAGATTTTCCCGTTCGGCAGTTAGATTCAGTTTGTTTGTTTCTTCTGTTATATTATAAAGTTCAAACGAACTGTTCTTCTTCTTTAAAGTTGGAAAACACTGCTTTGAAGTGTTTAAATAAACAGGACAACTTTCAGCAAAGCTATCAGTGATGGATTTCTGTAGCTTGCTTTGTCCTTGGTTAACATCGCTCACAATGTTGTTGTTTGTGGCGAAGGAACTCACGAGGCCATGTTCGGCGTTCATCGACTTATTGTCGTTCGCTGTCGAAGACAGGAAAAGTATTGAAAATACGAATTTAATCGCTAAATCTTCGCATAAAAACATTTTTCACAAGAGCGCACAATTTTAGAAACTCTTCTCGAGAAACATTTGTGCGAAATGATAGTTGCTTGGAAACAACGACAATTTCTGTTTGTTACGTCATGTAATTAGATAATTGGATAATTGGTCGCGCGTGTAATCAACGTTTCGCGCGCGAAATGATAAAAACGTGCAGTCACAGGGTATATACATTGGTATATATCATACAGTGGTCCGACTTCAGCCAACTCGACCGCAATCTAGCCGTTATGCAGTGTTCCTAGCCAGTGCGTGCTCACGAGAGGCACTCACCCCTTGACTGCAGGGGCGGCGCCAGCCATATATATTGGAGGGGAGGGGGGCTGTAAGTGAAATTTTGCCGAGTCATTTCCACTGCATATTAAAATATTTTTTCCCAAAAGTTTCGGGGGGGGGGGGAAGTGTCCTAATCACGCCAAGCCGGCTATTTTGAATGATTTCAGGAGTGACGGCCCACTTATAGTTCAATGTGATGGCCTTTCATGAGCGCACTGGCAAAGACCATGGCGGCCGGCTACGCTTACACTAGGGGCTAAATCCTGAAATTTCACATTGGCCGCCATGTTCCTTGACATCACGCTAATGAAAGGCCTTGACACGTGAAATGATTCAAAGTGGTCGGCTTGGCTAAGACGTTCAGGGGGCTAGTGCCTCTTGTAAGCGCGCACTGACTGGGAACATGGCGATGGCAACTGCATTGCGGTTAGATTGCGGCCGAGTTGGCTGAGGTCAAACCTTTGTATGATATTTTCAAAGAGTTTTTATCAATTATGCGCCAATCAAATAGTCGTTGTTTCCAAGCAACTATCGTTTCGCACAAATTTTTCCCGAGAAGAGTTTCTAAAATTGTGCGCTCTTGTGAAAAATGCTTTTATGCGAAGATATAGCCATTAAATTCGTATTTTCGATACTTTTCCTGTCTTCGACAGGGAACGACAATAAGTTGATTAACGTCGACGATGGCCCCGTGAGTTCCTTCGTAACAAACAACTACATTGTGAACGATGTCAACCGAGGACACAGCAAGCTACAAAAATCTATCACTAATATATAGCTTTGCTGAAGGTAGCCTGCGTGGCAGGCCCTCAATTTTATGGGGGGCCTGATTTGCAGCGGGCAGGATTTTGGCGGACACGGGAGAGGATTCCCGTGCCAGCCGAAATCCTGCCCGCTGCAAATCAGCCCCCCCCCATAAAATTGAGGGCCTGCCACGCAGGCTATGCTGAAAGTTGTCCTTTTTATTTAAACACTTCAAAGCAGTGTTCTCCAACTTTAAAGAAGAACAACAGTTCGTTTAGACTTTATAATATAACAGAACAAACAAAGAAACTGAATCTAACTGCCGACTGGAAAATCTACGACTTTTCGGTAAGTAGATAAAGCTGTTTTTGCAAAACTTTTTTTTCGACAAACAAACTGTTTTGTTTTTTCATATTTTTGAAGTTTTTGGTGTTTTGCCTACTTTTTGCTTTATTTTTAGACATGTTTTTTTGTTTTTTTCTTTAATTAATTTTACAATTTTTTTGGCGTTTTTTATAGCAATATTAATTTTTTAAACCAAATGGCAATTTTTATCTATATTTCAGTAAATTCAGTTTTTGTTTCTGCGTGTACAAAATCAACAGAAAACTATTTGGTAAATAAAACTAAACTATAATATAATATTTTGGTAAATAAAACTAAAGTAACTCTATTTCTACTGGATCAGTCCTTCACTGTTCTCCTTATGGGTTTATTTAGGGACACGCCCAAGAGGAAACGACCTGAGGAGGGGTTTGCTCCTCAACTGTTGGACGAAATTAATCATATTGCACGAATTAAACCTCTGTCTCAGAGTTGAAAGGCATGTGCACTAATTATTTCCTTTCTACTGTTCTGTTGGCCGATCATCTTCAAAGTTCGCTGCAAATTGTTTGGTAAACCTAAGAGAGTAATACAGCGAAATATCTCAACAAGTCCATCCGAGAAAACCATCCTTGTTCAGATTGACATTGCACGTGATGAGCATACGAACACTTTACAGTAACTACCGACTCATCATGCGGAAGTCACGTGGATACTGATGAAGAAACGACCGACTTAGCGTGTGATAGCGACGTGGACAGCGATGAAGAACCCAATGACTTGTCATGTGAAGAACATGTGGACACTGACGACTACAGCATTACAACCAGTAGTAGTGCCGGTGATCTACCAACAGCCACACCCAACAAACAGACCATTCCAGCCACTACCTTCCCAGAACGGTTCAAACACTCTCTGAGTTTCAACAGGTCGGACAGTTCGTGCTTTAACATCGAAATTCATTAAAAAAAATAACTTATTATGACCAGACATAACACTCCTACATTGTATTTTTTGTTCTTTCACCTCTAAAAGTCTAAAACGAGTGAATTTTGCGAAAATTCATCAGCCAGCCAATCAAAGAGTTTTATCTTGTGACGTCGGGACGGCAACCGTCATTCCTCATGTATTGTTTTGCCAACCTTGGGGGGAATAATATACATAATGATGCAACGCTGCCTTTTCCGGGAGACCCATGATCTGTACAGTACGTTTCAATGACGAGTACGAGATTTTCCCCATTAAAGGCCCAAAAGTATAGCCAACTTTCCCGACTTTGGCAAGTTATAGTCGACATGCTGAGTACGAGATTTTGACAAATCTCGTAGGCGGATAACGAGCTTCTTTTAGGAATTTATTTGTTTAATTGTTGCTACATTTGCCAACTGAATGAGTTTTTAAAAGCGCGAGTATTTTAAACTACGTTTGTTTTATCCATTTTCAACGAAATAAATAGCAATTTCTGCAATTTTCGCTTATTACTCAGGGTGTTAGCTAGCTCATATACTGTCCGTTTGACGGACTCTTCCCAATTGAAGTAGCTAAGGGGCTTTCCCAACTGGGTCTACTGGAAGATTTTCATTTTTTCTGATGAGAAAGTGCATTGCGTTTGATTTTATATTATTATATCAAAGGACAAAGTGTAATCGGTGTGCATCCGTGTTCATTCACCGGAAGTGAAATGTATAAAACAAAGTGCCATCGGGTGCATTTTTCAGTGTTCATTTACCGGAAATAAAATGTACAAAACCAAGCTACCGTTGTTTGCATCTAAGGAGAAACACTCTATTTATTCCTACACAAGGACTTTAATCGGTCAAAAAAACTTTCCCAATTTACGTTTAACGGACAGAACTTTTTTTCTGGCTAACACCCTGTAATACTATGTATATAGGCATTGTGATGAGTTTAAACCGTTACAAGAGGTTTACAGGAGGAAATTTGTGAAAAGGAAGGAAAGAGACTGGGGGCTAGTGTATTGCCACATGATCTGCCCAAAATATTCACGTGGATGCACCCACTAAATGTACCAAGTTTCATTGAATGTTATTAAATCACCAAGATATTCAGCCTTTCTTGTCATTGTCTTTATCTCAAGTCAAACTTGTGACGTCACAACTCAAAATATAGAAAGTGCGATAACTTCAGAATGAGATGAGATATGAAAAAAACTGTAAACGTCATTCTTCATTACTCCTCTGTTTGCATAGCCCGCGTGCAGGCCCAAGGGAGCAGGCTGAAGGGAACTTGATAGTGGGCCTGCAAGCAAGGCCCAGTATTTTGTACTTTCCGCGTTCGCCCACGAACGCGGCATTCTGATTGGCTGTTTGCTGTTGGATTCTATAATTAGGTCATTGATTCATCACAAAGGCATAGACAAAGGCTCTCGATAAGCTTAAAATTCGAAAATTGATCACTTTTTTCGATTACAAATGGAACAAGAACAGACTGTTTATTGTTTACTTGAAGGAAGAAATGTTTTTGCCGTTATGCCAATGAGGATTGCTTGTCGTGAGGTGTTGGAATAGCAACATTTATTACGAATGGGGTAAAACTATAGTAACCTTTACTTGAGTTTCATTAATTTCAAACAGACTTGATACCACTGAGCTATACTATATTACTGGAGGACCTGCTCGGGATCAAAAAGTGTCGCCAAAAACATGGCGGATCTTACGCCATTTCCATGACAACACTTACTTTATTTTCATGGTAACTGCCACTGACCAACCGCGATCCTAAGCATTCGACGATGTCCTTAACCCCCCTGGTTTTGGGGCAAATATTTAATACGATATGGATATAAAGTTTTCTGTTGTTTTTGAGCTAAAAAAATCTTAATATTTCCCTCGAACATTACTTGTTTTACAACGCGGAGCGAGGGTACGGGTTTGCTTCGCTTGTGGATGCAGCATTTCACTACAAATAAAAACTAATTCTTTCAGGTAAGATTCACGAAACTTTTTTATAACTTTCTAGACGGCTAGAGTCACTAGACCCTTCATATTATGTCAAAAACTCATCCTAATATATACAGCAAATATTTCAATAGGGGACATAAAAGTATTGTTAACGATTAAACATTGTGTACATGAAATTATGTTGTTTTGTGTCAGCAGACAGCACTGGCCTTGGTGGTTTTATTGCCAGTTTTTAATTTATACTAAAAAATGTGGTTGTTTACATCACAATTACATGTTCATATATTTTAAAACGTTTATTAAATATGGTGTGAAATTTATATACTTGCCCATCACAGTGCAGAATTAGTATATATAGATAAGCACAAGACCAGAGAGAGTTGAGCCGTAGAGGAGGCCCACCTACATGTGACAATGCATGTGCCCTGTCCTGATGAGCCCTAAAGACTGTCTTTATTATTTTACTCTGTCTAATGCTAGATGATTTTAAGGGGATTGAGACTGCTCCCTGCTGCCACACAGTGGGTTAATTACCCTATCTGCAAATGAGCAGCCCCTGAGATATATAGTCAGCCATTAAGCTGCAATGAACCCTGGCTACTTTCTTATTTTACTCAATCTGTGAGATTAAATCCAGATGTTTTACTCATCAAGGGAAGACTCTTTAAAATAGATATCATTTTGTCATTGTCTGTTCAGAACTATATAAAAACTATATAGTTTTACACAGCCTGCGGGCAACAAAAATGTTGCCCACAAGCCGCCAGGATTTAAGTGAGTTACTGATACACTAATCATGAGGTACAACATTTCTAACAAGGGTGGATTTTCATTTATTTAAAAGGAGGGGTAGAAAAATTTCTGGTGGGGTGCAAGCGGCACCACTCAGTTAGCTTTGGCAGGGGGTAGGCATTTGGGTTAAAGCTTTTCACACAAAATGGGAGGGGTGAAGCAGAATTTTGGTGGGGTTGATCACTTTTTTAGAGGGGTTTAACCCCCCCACCCCCACCCAAGTAAATCCACCCATGATTTCTAATATTGGGAGTAGTGATGTCCGATTGGCCATGACACAGCCTGTGAGAAATTATGATGAAATTTGCTCATAATAGTTAAGTTTGACATATTTTAGCAGTTAGTTAGGAATGTAATAATTGCATTGCTGAATATTGAAACATGACATTTAATTTTGAAGCTCGGATCAATGGTCTTGGTAAAAACAGATCATGTGATTGCAGTATTACACTCTCCCCTTGACTTAGTCTAGTAAAATTGTCTGGCATTAGGACTAGATTGAAATAATATAGTAAGGCATATCAAGACACATTGCCACTTGTGAAGGGTTAACATATGTGTATATGATATTTTTGTGATGTAAAGATGTATAATGTATTATGATAATAATGTCATCTTTTATTTTGCAGAAATTATATGTTTAATATGCACAAGAGATGGCACTGAGGCATCAACATGCAGAAAAACATGCAGAACAACAAAATTAATTAGTTAATTATAATACCATGCATAACAACATAAATAATTATATGATTATGATAACTTTATTGAAGTGTAAATAAGTTTTATAGCAATTAAAATTATACATTTTTTTTTTTTATTTTTTACTGCCAATAATTTTTCAAAAAAGTCAAATACACCCTTCCAGAATGTATTTCACCTTGTCACAGGAGCCTCATTTTCATGTATGTGGCATGAGTTAAAGTCCAATGTCTCAATCGTGAAAATGAGACTCTATATATAGCCAAGGTGACATAATTTCTGGAAGCATGTATTAAAATACAGTATGTTCAGTTTCCAAAGATATGTGTGGCTTGCCAGGCTTGGTACTGTAACTTGCCACCCAGAAAGGAGTTGTGTCATTGTGGAATAAATCTGCAATAAACAAGAGTAGATTAATTATGTAGGTTGTACAAAAATCCACCAGTAACATAATTAGCATATGATCAAGGTACAGTAAACAAAAGAATGTGACCTAACTCCTCAACTTAAACCAGGGGTATCAGAACTATGAGTGCACTTATATAAAAGGTACATTGCTCTGTGAGAAAACATGTAAGAAAACAGGCCATCCTGGAAATGAGGCTGTCTATAAAACGAGACCTCAGGAGTCAACCTTTTAAACATTATTAATACACTAGACAGTTCGCACTTTAAAGACCGTCGTAATCCTCGTATATGTGACTGAATATCGATCAAAGCTTCGTAGTTTGTAACCAAATATTTTGCGATTATGAATCACAGCTTGCTAAAATTAGTGAAATAGTGGGAAATTTTACACTTTACCATGTGTATTACATAGGAAGTTGTTTTATTAACAAATAGAGTGTCAGTTTCATTGTTATGCTTATCGTTTTCATGTCAAATAAGGTAAAGTCTAAATATTAAAAAAATTGAAAAAATGCAAATTTGTCTCTTACCCTTTGTATAAAATCCATATTCAAGTCTTTTCCCACATTTCTTGAGGTTTTAAATTTGTTTGTCGTCTTTCACGGGCGAGAATAACACGTACGACTTGCATATCTTTGTCCAAATAGTCAAAGGTAGAAAATTTAAATAAAAAATTTTAAAAACCGATTCAAAACCACGGGAACTATAATATCTGCAAATTGCAAAACTTTTGCAAAAACCAGGGGGTGTGAAAACGGCCGTGGGCTCAGAAATGAGCCTGGTCAGTGGTACCTACCATGAAAATAAAGTAAGTGTTGTCATGGAAATGGCGTCATTTTCACTCAAAATTCGCCATGTTTTTGGCGACACTTTGTTGACTGAACGAAGTATAGAAGCAGGTCCTCCAGTTATTATACAGCTCAGTGAGTGTCGTATATCAATCAATCTTGTTCCCAGAGTATGCCTGTTCGCGGGTTAGGTAGTGGCATGACTCTGACTCTGGGGAAATCGAATTTATTTTATCCAAAATGAGATAAATGGCGCATGCGCTTTTATTGCTCTTGTTTATTCCGCTTACTAAATTCGCGCGGGCACACACTCACAATCGATATATTTGTTTGAACAGATTCTCATCAGAATGTTATTATTATTATTACGTAGGAGTTACTATCGCAAGGAAATTGCTGCCTCACCCCTAAGGGATCAAAGCCAGGCAGCATGGAGAATCAGTGAACTGTAAATAACCTGGAACGATAACTCAAGTAAACATGCCCATACCAGTGAACTCTAATAATAACTGGAAGGCTAAGTCAGGAGGGGGGGAGTTGAAGCCGTGCTTGAAGCTTTTTTTGTAGGTAGACCCAGTCCTTTTTACATTTTTTTTTCAAAATATGCACATTTTTCGATCAGAAAAATCTTGCCCCAAAATATTAGTTATACTACCAAATTTAATTTATATCAGTAGTATGATAAATGAATTTAATATTCGCAAAGCAAACAAATCACGTATTAGCAAAAAAATACGAAAAAACACGACCATAAGCATGAACGGTCTGAAAAACCGCGCGTTTTAGGCTGCTTTTTCTGAGTTTTTGGAAGATTAAGATAAAACTAACACGTCACACCTCAGGAATTTTTTATACCCATGCAAAATACATCTGTTGCACTTTTCTGTCTTACACCGCAAGACAGTTGCGCTTCGTGGGGACTGAATACTATCAGAACAATACCATCGGAAATAGAACACACACTTTAAAACATATTTATTTAAAACGATTCCAACGATAAAATACATAACATGACAGTCCTTCTGGTTTTCTCTCGTGCTTTCAGTCACAGCTTTCCACCTTACCCTTCTCTCCGTCTTTCTCATTCATTTCCGTCTTTCCTTTCTGGTTATCATACCCATCCACTTCATTTTCAACTTTATTATCGTTTCTTTCTTCCGTACTGCTTCCGTTCTCATTTAACTCTACAGGATACAATTTCTGAACTGGTCTATTAAGATATATTGGATTTCCTTTAGTCATCACTCTCACTTTCGCTCCTCGAACCACTTCATCTTTACCGACAATTAAACTCTCAATCCTACCTAACTTCCAAAATCCTCTCTTAAGATTCTCGTCAAATACTAAAACTACATCTCCCTTCTTCACGTTCCTATCCCTCTTCTCCCTCTTACTTCTATGATGCTCTCTCAAATTCAAGTATTCTTGTCTCCATCTCTCCCAAAAGTGAACTCGCAGTTTCGCTAGATGCCTAAACCTACGCTTAACCTTTGTCGCATCATTCTCTTCAATTTTGTAACTAGTCTTGTCTGAACTTAATTCACATACATAATACACAACTGCACAATAGGCTTTCAAACTAACATCACCAAACTCATGTAATGAACATTTGGGTTTTCCAATTAGATTTCCATACACACGCCTTGGTATCATAATTTTAGCTACAACTTCAAGATCATGAACCCAACCTAACCATTGCTTCAAATATTTTTCATTTAGTTCAGAATCCCAATCTACTTTGTCCAAACACAGTGCTTGAAACAACATCTTAATACTTACTACCATTGGGCTAAGAATTCCCAACGGATCAAACAACCCAGCTAATATTCTAAGAATATTGCGTTTGGTTACAGGTCGCGATTTTGCTTTCTCAACTAAACCCTGAAACAAAAACTGAAACTCATCAGTTGTACAATGCCAAGCTAACCCAAGGACTTTCTCTGATGTGTCATTTTTGCCTGTCATGCAAAGGGATGACTTAGCAAATGTTTCTTCACATGCCAAGTTTCCTCTATCAGGCTTGATTTCTTCCTTTGATTGGATTTTCTCTAATACAAGTTTACTATTACTGAGCCATTTCCTAAGCTTCAAACCTAAATTGTTACTAGAAGTCTCATATAATGATAATGCATGCTCAGGGGTTTGTTCTCCAGTTACCAGACTATCAACATAAAAGCCGTCCTTCAACTTTCGAGTCAATTCAAGATTACCCTTCGAAAAGCGGTCAAGATGGTGTTGAAGTGTGGCATTCAGCAAAAATGGTGAACAGTTCACACCAAAAACAACTCTACAAAATCTATACTCTACTGGCTTCACCTCATCTTCATGTATGTTGCCCACCCAAAGAAACCTCAAACAATCTCTGTCACACGGATCAATTTCAATATTTAAAAAAGCCTTCTCTATATCTGCAACAAGCGCTATTCGCTTTTCTCTAAAACGCAATATAATGTGATACAACAACGGGGATAGAGGTGGCCCAACATGCAAGCAGTCATTTAAAGATACACCCTTCTTAGTCTCTTTACTCGATGCATCATACACAATCCTGACCTTAGTGGTCTTTGCATCTTTACGAACCACAGCATGTGGTAGATAATGGATCTTATCAGCTCTCTCTAAGCTGTCCCTTTAATCTCTGTACACTACAGCTATAATTTGTTGGCAATAAACTATGCCCTTCCTTCCAAGGTAAACTTACACTATATCTTTGGCCATTGAAATGTATTGAATCATTTAATAACTCACTAGCTTCCTCTTCATGCTTTATGCCTAACGTTTCATAATCCCATAATTTTTCAACACATGCTTCAAGGGACCTATTCTTTGATGAAGTTACATGCCCAATAAGGTTTACACTTACCTGTGCACACGATGTAGGACCATCATCATCTTCAGAGCTACTCTTCAGTGGACCTGACAACACCCATCCTAATTTGGTTTGTACCGCAACAGGTTCATTACTCTTGCCCCTAACCGTACGCCCTTCTTGAAATAACCACAAATAATCTGCGCCAATTAGTAACTCTATTTCTAACACATTCTTGGTCTTACAAACATCGGAAAACCATAACCCTTGCAAATGTGGGTAATCTTTCTTCCTTGTCTCTACATGCTCATTCCTAATCTGTGAAATGCTGTCTACTCCATAAACGTCAATGCTAACACTCTCTCCCCCCTGTACTGGGGCTACATTCAATTCAAACACTTCTCTCAACTTCCCTTCAACTTTCTCCTGTCCGAACGTTCTAATTTCTACCCATTCCTTCCTCTTTACTGGCACTCCTGCCTTCTGAGCTACCTTGCCCGTAACAAATGACCGTTGACTTCCTGAGTCAAACATAACCCGCACTCTCACATTCTCCTTTCCTCCCATCACCAAAGCCTGAGCTGTCTGCAATGCTACTCTATTTGCTGACCCAACGCACGAATGTGTGGAATGAACGACGTCAGCGGTTATAGACCCATTAGCATGGCTCTCACAAATAGAACTATGATGTCGTTTACTGCATGCACTACATTTACTCGTATTTAAACAATTACTACTAATATGTCCTCTTTTTAAACATACAAAACACCGTCCGTACTTACGAAGTATCTGTTTACGCTCACCAGCATTCTTAATTTTCTTACAATCTTGTGATAAATGTTCTTGTAAACAATATACGCATCTTGGCTTCCCTTCCCTGGTGGTATGATTCACAAGAGCAGCCGCCGATCCATCTAGAAACTGTGGTTTCCTTCGTTCTTGTTTTGACGTGTTCGTCGTAGATGATTCGTGTGCTTCGCGTAATTCAATTTCATCTAGCAGTGCTTTTAAAATATCCTTCATCGTCCAACTTAGAAAGTCTGATCCACTTGCACTTGACCCACGAGTTATCGTCAAACGAAGGGATTCCGGCAGCTTGTCGAGTATTTCCGGAACAACAATCGTAGCATACGAACTTTCGTCCACTCCCAGGGTTTTCAGACCTCGGCAGTTTGTCTCACAGGCATGGTACAATTCCCGTAGTCGACGCACATCTCGCTCGTTGTATACTGGTTTTATGTTCATCAACGCTTGAATATGGGCTCTCTGTATCGCCGTTTTCTTCCCATATCGTGTCTTCAGGAGTTCTAATGCTTCTTTATAGTTCGTTGCTGTCAACGTGAACCCTGCGATAGTTGTCTGCGCGGGACCAACCAGTAGACCTTTCAAATACGCGAATTTATCTACCTCTGATAGAGCGTCATTCTGATTTACAGAACTATCAAAGGAGTCCCAAAATTCTTGCCACTCTTGAATTTTCCTATTAAATCTTTTGACCTCTAACTTTGGGAGCTTTGCGCGAACAGTCTGTTTTGGTGTAGCGTTCATACTCAGATTCGATGGTGTACTTTGACCTTGTGGTAGTGACGGCAAGGCTTGGAACAATGCGTCATTCACGTCGAGAATTATTTTTTGTAATTCAGCTCGCGTATCATCTGTCTCCTGAATTTCCTTTTCCAGCTGTTGTTCTGCGTCTTCGGCTTCACTATTACTTAGTACCTCGACAATCTCGTTATCTAAAAGTTTCAAGGCTTCGAGTTTCTCGCTCAGCGTGTCTCTCAGCTGTTTCAGCACATTCTTGTCCGTCTGAGGCGTTTCACTCACATTCACTAAACATTCTTTAATCTTCGTTCCTATCTTCGTTGCTGAACCTCTGTGTGCTGCGCGTGTTCTTCTTTTCTTTGTCAGCTCGTCCAACGGCATTTTCGTATCTATCTCGATTCTTTCTTTCGAAATCTATCCGGCTCGCATGGACCAAGTGTTGCACTTTTCTGTCTTACACCACAAGACAGTCGCGCTTCGTGGGGACTGTATACTATCAGAACAATACCATCGGAAATAGAACACACACGCGTACTTTAAAACTTATTTATTTAAAACTATTCAATCGATAAAATATATTACAAACAATCCTTCTGGTTTTCTCTCGTGCTTTCAGTCTGACAATCAATTCAAAGTCTATATTCATGACATACGATACATTTCTTACGTCAATCAACTAAATCACCCATTGTTTGGTCTCCTACGGCGTTATCAATAGTATAATGTTACAAATTATTCTACAAATCTATTTTATACTATCAGTGTTATTATAATTATAGACATATAGTATACAATAACTCTAACACTCTCGAAGTTTTGGATAAAATAAATTGATTTTGAAGTTAGTTTGTTTTAAAATATAAGATTTTCCAAATTTTTCGGTTAAAACTGCTGACGACTCGCTTACGACATTTTCACTGCAAAAGACTTTTGAAAGTGCGAAAGCAATGTATATGATCAGCTTTTGCTCAATGTTCGATAGAAGAAACATCGACCTTCGATTCGATGCAATCTGGGGAGATTGCAAGCAAGTTAGATAGAGGGCAAGAATCCATCTCAAACTATTTTATTTCAACGAATATCGAACATAATTCTTCTCGCCTATAGCATCCGAAGAAGAACTACGGTGTTGGCAGAATTTTAACCTATAAAGCGCCCAGCATATTCTCAAATAACTATAGGTTCGTGCATGCTGCACATAACTTTGTGATAAATGTGCTATGAAAACATATTAAAAATGCTTCAATACCTATGAAACTTTAGCAATACATCGACAGAACTAATGCAAATAACAGCCGGTCAAAATACATCATTCAAAATATATGACCGGCAAAAGTGGGAAAAACAGGGCCTGAAAAGGGTCTTATTTCAGCCATGATGTCTTCTGTAAGAATCCACTTCGATTTTTATGAAAGATTCAAATACGTATACACATCAAATAATGAACTCTAACATACCTTAGTTCGTAGGTGTTGGCAGTAGATTCACGCAAGATATCCCGATTTGAAATTTAGTCTCCATGGAAGTCAAAAAGGCACAGACATTATCGACCATAAATTCTCTTGTACAAGCTATTTTACCATTACAGCACACATACCCTTTAGCCAAAGAAATACTTTAGCCATTTTGCCATTTAAACCATTCTAACACCAAAAAGATTAAGAAAAATAGCCAGACGAACTGAACAGCTCAAAATCGCGGTTTTCTTCAATTTCCTTCAAAATCGTACTTGCCCCAGTTTCTTTCCGCATCACACGTCGATCAGCGCGCGCTCTCGTTGCGCCGCCCTATGTATAAGCGCCCTGGTCAAAATTCAAAAACAACTAGACATGATTACGTGATTGATATGTTTGTAATATTTCGTCCAATTGCAACGAGGAATATATGATGACGTGTGCACACGCCTTTATCCAATCAGATTAAAGAAATATAGCGATAGCACACGTCATTAAATTGGAATTTGGATTTTGGAAATCGGAACTATTTTTTAAAAATAGAACAGCGGCTTTTGCATTTAATCACAGAGTATAGATACTATAGTCTCTCCTCTGTGATTTAATATTGCCTTGAATGAGAAAGTAAAGCCAGAATCGTCCATTTCGTACGATTTTTCTTTTAACTCGCATTTTCGATTTGTTTCCCAACAACAGGCTTGCTGAAACTTGTTGTGACAGGACAAAAATTGTTTGTTGTGGACAGGTTTGTCGCAGGTCTGATAACAAGCTTGCTGCAGACTTGACATTAACGACTTGCGACAGGTCTGTTGGAACAAGCTGTAACAACCTGTTGATTTCATCAGACTTGCTGCAAGTTGTTCTATCAGATCTGTTATCTCTTTTTAGTATTAGGTTTGTAGCGGGTTGTTTCAACAAGTCGCTACGGCTCTGTTGTCAACAGCTTGCGACAGACCTGTTCCCGCAAGCCTGTTATCGCCTGACGAAACCAACAGACCTGTCGCGACTTGTTGACAACTTGCCGCAAGCCGGTAAAATCAACAGCTTGCAGGCCTGTGAGATTTCTGGCTTTGTACCTGAAAAGGGAGTATTTGCATCAATTTAAAATGCTTTAATTAAATTAAAGAATTAAGGCTTGCTATATTAATATCTAACGAACGATTTCATCTGGTTTGTATTTTTTAGGGGCGGACCATTAGAAAGCCGGGGTGGGGGGGGGGGAGGGGTATAAAATTTTTGCGGCACGATTTTTTTTTTCAGTCTCATGTCTCTGCAGGATTTTTTTATGCATTTAACCTCTGCAAGAATTTTTTTTCAAAACTATTTGCACTTTGCTGTTTGCTTGCACCATTTTTTTTCTCTGACGTAATTTTTTTCCAGGCATTTTTCTTTGCACGAATTTTGTTCTGGGAATTTTCACCCCCCTCCCCCCTCCCGGGATTTCTAATGGTCCACCCCTTATTATGGTAAAATACTTTTCTATTGGTACTCTTTCTTGAAAGTTGAGTAGGAACATAATTTGGACGAGTGTTCAATTTGGTGTTTCCAAAATGTAAACATTTACATGTTTAATGTTCACATTTACATGTTTTGTTTAATTAACACTTTGTTTAAATTCTTTATTGAAATCTTTTGTGAAATTAACTTTGAATAATATCGCTATCATTTGTTTCAAAGTTACTTTGTTTAAAGATTGAATAAATATAGCTATTAGAGGTGTGCATCGGATCGGATTGGACGTTACTAATCCGACAATTGCCTTATGTTTAAAATCCGATCCGAAATTGTCTAATCCGAATTCGATCGGAGTTTTGAAAAAGAATTCCAATCCGATCCGATCCGAAGAATTCTTTAATAAAATAAATTTCTCATTCAAGTTGAAATATTTAACCAAATAAATATAAAAGCAAGAAATACATGTCAAGAAGCTGACAAAGTGACGTCCAATTGAAGTCCAGTGAATACTAGGCCTATTAAGTCTAAAGGAAAATCAGCAAAGAAACATGTTAACTTAGGCTCTGAAAGACAGCACAAATTCCACCCAAGAATGCCTATAAATAGGAAAACTAGTCCCGAAGAAGCGTTGAAACCTCGCGAAATGAGTCAAATTCAAGACAGAAAGCGAACCACGAATAGCTTCAACATAGTTGAATAACCGGGAGGTTACCGCTAATTGATGCGCAACAACATAAAATTCCAGCTAGAATAACCACTCATTTCCCACAAGGAACTAGAGCAAAGTCAAAGCGATATAATAATTGGGGTTTTCGGAAACGACCACTATACCCTCTAATCGGCTAGCCATCCGACAAAGTAGGAGCCACAACTTAATTAATATTCCAATTACGAAAACTACAAACTCTGCTCTTGACGGTTCTTTACCAAAATTTTTATTGCTAAACGCTAGATCAATCCTTAATAAAAAAGAGGAACTTGAGATCATTATCAGTCAGTGTAGCCCTGATGTAATCATGATCACAGAAACTTGATTATCTGACATCGTACCTGATGAAGTCGTCAATATTCCGAAATTTAGCTTGGTCAGAAAAGATAGACCTGTTGGAAAGGGTGGTGGAGTGCAAGTGTATATACGGGAAAGTATAACTTACAAACTTCGACTCGACTTGTCAAATGATCAATACGAGTGTGTTTGGATTGTATTACGCCCTGCATGTCTGGCTTCCAAGATCAATTTCTAGAATTGCAATTGCGTGTGTGTACATTCCTCCATCTGTAAACATGGAGACGGTAAATAGCTTCTGTGACTATTTTTGCTACTGTTATGATAAATTGAAATCGGAAAGCCCATGCACAGCAATTATTGCAGCTGGCGATTTCAACCCTGATAGTAATGGGTTGAATATAAGAACAATCACACGCCAAGGCCACATAAAACAGATAGTAAAAACACCTGCCAGGGGTAATGCCGTGTTGGACCTAATTATTACGGACATACATAAGTTTTACGAAAATCCAGAAATACTGCCCCCCCCCCCCCATCTGACCATAGACGAATTGTGTGGAGACCAAAAAATCGAAATCAGGTAGGAAACAAAAAAGGAAAAAGAACAGTAACAGGAAGACCGCTGAGAGACTCATCTATACTTCAATTTGAGCAGTTCATTAGTGAATATAATTAATTGGTCATTTGTATTTAACGCTGCTGAAGTCGATGATGGGGTGCGTTTATTTCTTGAGGCAACTAACAACAGGTTGATACCTTCTTCCCTTGTAAATCAATCAAAGTGTATGAGGACGATAAACCATATATCACTGGAAGAATCAAGGAAATGATGCATAATCGCGATAGAGCATACCAACGTGGACAAGCCGAACGCTTTAAGTATTTACGAAATAAATTGTATCTGAGATTCGGAAAGAGAAAAATAAATTTTACGATAAGAGAATTAAACCGATATGCAGCCATAACCCAAAGCTATGGTGGAAACAAATAAAGAAAGTTGTTGGAACTAAGCAGGATTCAGTCTCTATTATAGATCCAGAAACTGAAAATCCACTAAGCGCAAAAGAGTCCGCTGAGTATATTAACACCTTTTTCACAGACCTAACTAAGAACTACCCAGAAGTAGCTGATGAGTGGCTGACGATTACAGCAGACGAGACCCTGCCTCAAATCTCTGTGACGAATCTCGTGAAGAAATTAAAAGGCATAGATGGCAATAAAGCACATGGGCCATTTGATTCCTGTTTAGAGATAATAAAGTTATTCGCTGAATATTTTGCAGTACCTTTAGTACATATTTTTAATCAATCCTTCCAAACTATGAAATTTCCGGAAGTTTGGAAAATTTCTAACGTCTGTGCTATCCCCAAAACTGTCTACGCACAAATGAATGGCCCAAAATCAGTACCTTAGGTATCTCAGTGCCCGTGGACGAAACAGCCATAGTAAACTATAGAATTCAGGTCAGCGCTGGATATATACCAGTAAAATGAATAATAGGCTACCACTACTAACGTGACCGCAAGAAATGTTGAACGAATATACTATTAGCGTTATAAAGGAAAAACTCACCTGAATATATAGTGAAAATAGTGAAAACAATTACTTCAATCTTCACGAGAAAATCGCAATGTATAAAATTTACTGCTGACAAGATTAATGACTTGCCTCGACAGCTGACTATAAGCGACTAAACGTAAAATGTTTGAGTGTGTCTATATGACAGCACCCTGTAAATAATCTAGTTGTTCCATCAGTTAAACTATTTGCCTACAGCTAAAGTTTTATCTTTGCAAAGCAGGTTTCCTCCACGCCCTTGGCAGAGTTAATTAATATGATAATAATAACAAGATGACAGACATAAAATTCCTATTCGCAAGCAAATGTTCTATTTCCCTTACTAGCGTACTCTCCAAAGTACAAGAATCGTATGCTGTTGAATGGATCCTTGAGGACGTTCAAGAAGAAATTAGTGATTCTCAATTTGGTGGACTTGCGGGATCTTCAGCTGTTTTGACGTTAGTGTATTTGGTACATAATTGGTATAAGAGCATGGAAAACACCGGAAAGGTTGTAAGAATCGCCTTTTTGGACTTTCGTAAAGCCTATGATTTGATCAACCATAACATTTTGTTAGGAAATTTTATGGTTTGCGACGTATTTACAAGGTAGACTACAAATGTGTACGTTTAGAAACCACAAATCAGAGTGTAAAAGTATAAAAGGAGGAGTGTCCCTATATGTCGTGTGTTAAAAGTCGTGTGTCGTGGGTAAAGTCGTGGGTCATAAATGTGCTAAAAACGCATTTTTTCACGAAGATATTATTTTTAATATTTTTTTCGTACTTTTTCCATTCATGCACTAGATAAATACAGGAAAATTTAACGCAACAAATCTCCAGTAATAAAATAATTTCTTATCTTGCTGATATCTATAGTATAACCTGGTATAACAAGTAAATGTTTGATTATGCATGTTTCCGTTTCGTATAGTCTAATAAGCCTATAGAGTATAAATGTATTGTTTGATGTATAAATGTATTCTTTAAGTTATAGGATATAGGTTTATTAGCTTTGGAAGTGTTATAGTCCCTATCATGAACGTCGCGAATAATTATGTCGATTGCATATGTCTGATACAAACATATGGAGCTATAAATTTTACGCTGCAGTGCCTAGTATAATTGTGGCCAACGCTCGAGCCTCAAATTTTGCTATTTTATCTCCTAGACCTAGTATATGTTCGTGGCCCTTAAAGGTAGACCGAAACATTTCATGTGTATGTGGTGTTCGGAAATATTCCATAAATTGCTACGATTTGGGATTTCCCGATTGAAAACCGAAATGATTTGTGCGATGTCGGGCTAATTGCCAACCGAGCGCGCTAGCCGCTGTTATTTCGACAGAATATGATACCTCTACACTTTTCAGCCGTAATTTTCAGCGCACATTGTAATCATATACATATCGTTTAATTTAGCTTCAAAAGCTTGATAAAAAAACATGTTATTCGTGTTCGTTCCCGCGGAGCGCAATGGTGTCATAGTTGCCAGAGGCAGAGCAGCACATGCAAAGCCGCCTCGGTATAAATCATGTATGTAACGGGAAATCTTGCTTATTTCAGTCTAATAAAAAACCAATACCAGCCGACAATTTCAAAAAATATAATACAAAACATAATCCGAAGATAAGCATCTTGAAACCCAAAATATGAGTCAAACAAGAAAGTGAGTGAGTAATATTTCGATTTTATTACAAAATCATTATCAGACCAACTAAAGTTACAATATACACATGGTCTTATATACAAGTTGGCAAGGCATGATGACAGCTTAACGGAAGTCTCAATCAGAACCACGACAGTTGCAGTGAGATGTAAGTGTGATGAAATGTGGGTGTATAGATTAAGAAAAAAGCTTGAGTTCTTTACTGGCTTTGAGTCCAGTATTTAAACTGGGTGAATGATACTTGATATATAGAGCTTCAAGCAACAAGAGTAAGTTAGGTGTGCGAGAATAAATAGTGTGAAGAATTCGAGAGTTGTCAGATATTAAGTTGGAAATAAAAGTGGAAACGTTATTGTCAGCGTCAGTTGGGTTGTTAAGTTTGTCAAAAACAAAGTGAAGGTTTACAATGTATTGCACATGTTCGCAGTTGTGAAAATGCTGTCCAATAGCACTTTTGGTCGGATTGGTATGTTCAGCGAGTCGCGTCTGTAAACGTCTTTCTGTTTTCCCAATATACGTTGCGAAACAGCCAGGACATGTCACCTCATAAACTACATTAGATTTCGAAAGATTCGGAATTTTGTCTTTGTTGGAAAGGAAATAAGAAAACTTTTTGTTGTCATAAACAACTATAAAATTTACAGGAACAGTTAGGCATCTTTGTATTTTCTTTATGCAACTTTTAACTAAAGTTTCACCTTGTTTACCAAGGTATGGAACGCGAACCCAAACCTTAGGCCTAGTGTCGTTTTCATCAAAAAAGTTAGTGCGAGGTCGATCCGCTGAAAGTTTGTTTTTTAGTTTAGATATCAATAAATTCCTGATCGCACGAGGAAAGCCATTCCAAGACATAAACATTTTAAGCTTCCGTACTTGGTTATCAAATAGTTGACTGGTACTGCATAATTTTGATGCTCGGTGAAACAAAGATTTAACCCACGCAGTTTTACGTGACAGTACGTTTTGGTTAGCGGAACGTTTGTGAACAGTGAAACAACATCAAACGAAACAAGGTGATAACTTTTAACGATAACGATACGAAAACAAGGCGATAACGTTTGCACTTTTATTTCCAACTTAATATCTGACAACTCTCGAATTCTTCACACTATTTATTCTCGCACACCTAACTTACTCTTGTTGCTTGAAGCTCTGTATATATCAAGTATCATTCACCCAGTTTATATATAAACACTGGACTCAAAGCCAGCAAAGAACTCAAGCTTTTTTCTTAATCTATACACCTACATTTCATCACACTTACATCTCACTGCAACTGTCGTGGTTCTGATTGAGACTTCCGTTAAGCTGTCATCATGCCTTGCCAACTTGTATATAAGACTATGTGTATATTGTAACTTTAGTTAGTCTGATGATGATTTTGTAATAAAATCGAAATATTACTCACTCACTTTCTTGTTTGACTCATATTTTGGGTTTCAAGATGCTTATCTTCGGATTATGTTTTGTATTATATTTTTTGAAATTAATTGTCGGCTGGTATTGGTTTTTGGTCTAAGCTCCGAAGGACCGACCCTCAATTACACCAAGTTGCAATTAAATACCAACGGTCTTTGAGAAGATTGGCTAAGGCACAGTTGGATTTGAAGTTTCTTTATGACTGTAAAGAAAATCAAGTCTTTCCGAAGTTCGTGCGATGGAAAAACCTCAACCGCATGAAGAAAAGGAATCAGCGACGCTACTACAACTTGCTCCTGACTGATGCTATCAAAGAAAAGAACTCGCATGTTGGCAATTTGACGAAGCAATGTGATGAGCTCAAGCATGAACTATCTGGACAGACTACGTGGATGAAATTCCGACTCATTTGTTTCTCGATTAATCGTTTACTCAGCATCGAGAAAAGTAAGATCACTTCCCGACACGATAGAAAACTGAACACCCTAATTGAACTCAAGCAAACGGCGGATGCGATCGAAGAGAACCCAAATGACACCATCATAAACTTGTCCGGCCGCACTCTCTCATCTGATGAAATTGATGTACTTAAACTTGGATTAAGACACGGACTAGCAACAAGACCTAACCAATTTGAAATAATGGCTGTATCGGAAGACGTTTGGGATCAAATCGCTCGCCTCAATAAGTTTAAAGACGGACGCCATATACAAGATAAAATCAAGAATTCGTTACGCTCCTTCACCTACAGTTGTATCGATCTAGATTTGCGCGAGTTCTACACGGACAGAAAGAAAATCAGAACACTAACTGAACTTTCCAAAGACCTATCCATTTTAAAACCCGACAAAGGTAATGGCATTGTTGTCATGAAACGCAGTGATTATCTTTCCTCTGTCACATCTCTCTTCTCTGACGCTTCACGTTTTAAATTACTTGATACTGACCCAACGCCTACTAGACTAAACTCTCTACAGTCCTTCTTATGCACTCTTTTATAACGTGGTGAAATTTCTCAATCTGACTATGACTTTCTTTGACCTAAAGCAGCACACTTCGGTAGAGCACATGGGCTTCCCAAAGTCCACAAACATTACAACGACTTGCCACCGTTTAGACCTATTATTGACACAACTGGAACACCACATTATAACGTTGGAAAATTTCTCGCTAAGTTATTAAATCCATTAGCCCAAAACGAGTACACTCTTCGTGATTCATTTCATGCGGTTTCGGAAATAAAATCTATACCTAAAGAGCTTTTCTCAGAAGGTTATCGCCTTGTTTCGTTTGATGTTGTTTCACTGTTCACAAACGTTCCGCTAACCAAAACTGTCAAAATCATTCTTGATCGCGTTTTTGAAGAAAAATTGATTACTACAACTTTTTTGAAACGGACTTTGAAAAAACTAATTCTTGATTCGTGTACTAAAACCGCGTTCTCATTTAATAATCAACTTTTTGAGCAAACTGACGGCGTTTCTATGGGGTCTGCACTGGGGCCTGTGCTAGCTAACATCATTCTTTCGGAATTTGAAAAACTTATTGTTTCGGATCTAATTAAATCTGGTGTCATAAGGTTTTACCGAAGATACGTTGATGATACTCTAGTGCTTATAAAACCTTCGGATATTCCTGCTGTTCTTGACAAATTTAATAGTTTTGACAAAAATCTCCAATTTACAGTTGATACCTTTCCGGATAATGTAATTCATTTTTTGGACATTTTGATTTCGTCGGATAACACTGATGTTTACTACAAAAGTACGCACACTGGACAATACACGCATTTTTCTAGTTTTGAACCATTTTCACGTAAAACTGCGTGGGTTAAATCTTTGTTTCACCGAGCATCAAAATTATGCAGTACCAGTCAACTATTTGATAACCAAGTTCGGAAGCTTAAAATGTTTATGTCTTGGAATGGCTTTCCTCGTGCGATCAGGAATTTATTGATATCTAAACTAAAAAACAAACTTTCAGCGGATCGACCTCGCACTAACTTTTTTGATGAAAACGACACTAGGCCTAAGGTTTGGGTTCGCGTTCCATACCTTGGTAAACAAGGTGAAACTTTAGTTAAAAGTTGCATAAAGAAAATACAAAGATGCCTAACTGTTCCTGTAAATTTTATAGTTGTTTATGACAACAAAAAGTTTTCTTATTTCCTTTCCAACAAAGACAAAATTCCGAATCTTTCGAAATCTAATGTAGTTTATGAGGTGACATGTCCTGGCTGTTCCGCAACGTATATTGGGAAAACAGAAAGACGTTTACAGACGCGACTCGCTGAACATACCAATCCGACCAAAAGTGCTATTGGACAGCATTTTTACAACTGCGAACATGTGCAATACATTGTAAACCTACACTTTGTTTTTGACAAACTTAACAACCCAACTGACGCTGACAATAACGTTTCCACTTTTATTTCCAACTTAATATTTGACAACTCTCGAATTCTTCACACTATTTATTCTCGCACACCTAACTTACTCTTGTTGCTTGATGCTCTATATATCAAGTATCATTCACCCAGTTTAAACACTGGACTCAAAGCCAGCAAAGAACACAAGCTTTTTTCTTAATCTATACACTCACATTTCATCACACTTAACATCTCACTGCAACTGTCGTGGTTCTGATCGAGACTTCCGTTAAGCTGTCATCATGCCTTGCCAACTTGTATATAAGACCATGTGTATATTGTAACTTTAGTTAGTCTGATGATGATTTTGTAATAAAATCGAAATATTACTCACTCACTTTCTTGTTTGACTCATATTTTGGGTTTCAAGATGCTTATATTCGGATTATATTTTGTATTGTATTTGTTGAAATTGTCGGCTGGTATTGGGTTTTTTTTATTTATGATACAATACCGCAAATTATAAAACAACATTGTTAAGGGGGCGCTGGGGTTAAGTGGGTAGCTGGGTGCCAGATGTCTTACCGCCCAAATGTTTGTCAACGATTGTAGTAATCGCAAACAACTCCCGGCATAGTACAAAACATGGACTGGACCCATGGACTGGACCCAAAATTGGACCCAAAATTGGACTCAAAATTGGATTCAAAATTGGACCCAAAATTGGACTAAAAATTTTAGCCAAAATTTTGCCCAAAAATTCATTATTTTAACGGAGAGAAACAACCCTCAGAATATCGTGCTTTTATTTAATTTGTATAGGCAGAAAACTTCACGTTCCATCACTTTTCCTTGACCTATTTGTCTTCCAAAATTCTATATTCTATTTTCTAAACGTTATCTAGGGTATCTCGTAAATAATAAACCTTTGTGAAATATCTTTGCGCAATGGTCACAAATACATCACATCGATATAAATCATTCCATCAATATATTCATCAATATATAGTTATTTTATACATTTTGTTTCTATATAATACGCCCTCTATATATTCCGGCATATATATCCTCTAACAAGTAACAAGTTCGCAAAGTTTGTTTTGTCCATATATTCTAATATTTATTGCAACTAGCTCTTTGTGGGCTTATCATTATGCACATATTGTATTTCCGTTTGTCAAATATAGACGTGTCCCTCGTATCGCTGAGGATGGTTCTGCAGGCGCGGATCCAGCCTAAACCCTGACCGTGGCGGACTCCAAAACCGCGCATAATTAGGGGGGTCCGGGGGCATTCCCCCCCGGAAAATTTTTGAAATTTGAACCCCGGAAATGCCATTTCCTGAGTTCTGAGCATCGAATTCTATCATATAATTCGTCATTAATTACGACATATTTTAGACAGCAAATAACGAAACGCACTAAATAAGTCAAATATTTAAACAACATACCATGTTCTTCAGCGAACGTTACAACATTAGAATGTTACAAAATCACTGTACTTACATAAAACCACAATTCTGTACCGCACGTACTGTTCCTGTGTATTTCAGGTTCTTCGTAGCAAAAAATATCCAATTAGGGCTGTACATCGAACTCAATCATCTTGGCGTTTCAGTTGCAACGTAGGTCTTTTACGGGGTGGGTTTTTTCAGCTGCACATCGATACCAAGTGTCTTATTCTCGATCATTCGCTTAAACTGTGTAGCAAGGAGAGTTGCCGTTGTGTTAACATTGGATTTTTCACCATGCTGACATAGTTTCTGGACAGCAGAAGCACTTGGAGGAAGAGCACTGGTCATCAATCGTTGGAGCTCGCTTGCATTATGCGTGCTTTCACTGCCAAAAAGAACACAAGTGACGCAAAAACCACCGTTTGCCACAGCAGAGTAAGCCAACCATGGAAATCGTGATAACCATGCCAACCGGAAACGTCTACCAATATTTTCGCGTGGAAGAAAAGAAAAATCAGAACCAGGTTTCCAATGGCAATGATTGCACAGAATTTCGTACTTTTTTGAATCAGGAAGACTGGACACCAGATTTACGTAGTTTAGATATCATCTGGCCACGAATTGGTGGAAGTTTGTTGTGTTTTGGTGTTATATTTTTCTGAGGTAGGACCAGTGTTGGGAGTTACAGATGAAATTCCTTTACTAGTGCTGG